CTCTTGCCTAGACGAGACACAGTGCATGAAAACAACTTGATGACCTTTCGGGGACAGGTATGTTTTTCTTGCAGCTGCGGTTAAAAGGTCTTGGCAAGATGAGCAGTGTGGCCCTCTTTTTGAGCTTCTGGTGCGTGGCAAGACCTCATGTTTAAAGTGAGGTCCTTGGGAGCACATGAAGAGGCTACTGTGAACTTATTGGTCCTACTGCAAGAAGCGTTCAGATGTCACTTGACTTGTAGGGGCACTCTGGTAAGGATTTAGATCATGGGATAAATTACAAAGAAATTCAGAGGGAAAAGTGCATCGATGCTCAATTTTTCTTTTTTGGAATAATTAACATTATTTTCAGCAGTTACCATCTTAAGATCTGTTAGTATCTAACTTGCTTTTTCATCTGGCTGTTGTGGTGTGCAAAATTTTGTACATTGCTTTTGCTGCACTGCAACACTTTACAGATGTGGAAGATGTGAAATTTGTCATCAATTATGACTACCCAAACTCCTCTGAGGACTATATCCACCGAATTGGACGAACTGCCCGCAGCACCAAAACAGGCACAGCATACACATTTTTCACACCTAATAATATAAAACAAGTAAGCGACCTCATCTCTGTACTTCGTGAAGCTAATCAAGCAATCAATCCCAAATTGCTCCAGTTGATTGAAGACAGAGGCTCAGGTAATTATGACTTACCCAACCCATTGATTCTTAATTGCCTTTTGGCCTAAATATTTCAGTGCCTGAACTAGAGCATGTTTGTATCTGTTGAATGGGAAGTACTGTAAGCCTCCAAAAAGAGCACCTTTGGAGGAAGAAACTTAGGGAGTAGGGGAAGCTCCTGTTAATTTGCTTTTTAATTTTTACAGGTCGTTCCAGAGGGGACCGACGTGACAGATATTCTGCGGGTAAAAGAGGTGGATTTGGTTTTAGAGAAAGGGAAAACTTTGAAAGAACCTATGGTGCAGTGGGCAAGAGAGACTTTGGAGCAAAAGCACAGAATGGTGGCTTTGGTGCTCAAAGTTTTGGTAACGGAACTACCTTTGGTAACAGCTTTGGAGCAGCTGGCATGCAAGGTGGATTTAGGGCTGGCACTCCAGCCTATCAAAATGGCTACGACCAGCAGTATGGAAATAACATGGCAAACATGCACAGTGCAATGAACCAACAACAGTATGCATACCCTGCAACTGGTGGTACTCCAATGATAGGTTATCCAATGCCAGCAAGTTATACCCAATAACTTAGTCTATTTAAATGTCTTGTTTTTCATAATTGCTCTTTATATTGTGTGTTGAGAAAAGATAGTTATTTAATATCTTATGGAACATGCAGAAAGGTCTGCAGTGCAGCAGTAACAATGGTGCACTTTTTCCGCTATTTAAGTTGAATATTCTCTACATTCCTTGAATGATTTTTAGTTTTTTGTACTAGAAAATGCAGACTGTGTTTTCACAAAGTAAATGTACAGTGATTTGAAATAACAGCAACTTGGAGGCATTGCATGGCCTTCGAATAAAGGTATTTCAAAACAGAATGTTCTTGGTATTTGAGTGATGTATTGGTCTAACCCCAGAGTAGTTAATGCTACAAAGGGCACATGTTTGATCCAGTGGAAAAGAGAAGTACCTGTATTTCTTTTGAGACCGACTTGGCAATTCTCAGATGGGAATGAACAGGAACTGATTTATTACATCATTGGAAAATATTTCTTGCTTCTTTTCCCTAGCACAGCTTTGTGTTGCTACATGAGAAATAGACAGTTACTGGGCAAGTTGAACCTTCAACAAAGATAATTTTGGAGATTTATAACTGGGTTCCTGAAGTTTGAGAAATAATTCAAAGGGATACTAAACATTCTCACAAAAACTTAATACCTTTTAATAAAAGATGTCAATAGAAAAGGTTCTACTATACTGATTTTTTTTGTCCCCAGACTTAAACCACTCTTCTTGCGATGTAAACCTTCTAGATTCCTGATATGGGCAGATTACAGCTTCAGATACTTAAGGGCCTAAAATTGTTTTGGGAATTAGATATGTTCTAAATACAACCATAAGGTTGAACACTGTGCCAAAACACACATTCTAGAGATTTTGGTCCTTTTGAGTTAGTGTTGATTCCTGTCTACTTAGCTAAGTCTCTGCTGTTTTCTTGGCAACATTTTGGAAGTGGTTTACCTTCGTCTCCTAGGACTGACAAAGTGACTGGGCCAAAGCCATCAGCTGGTTTTGTGCTTCAGACTAGGATTAGAACTCAAATCTCCCAGTCTGCAGCCTAGCCCATGATGGATCTTAAATTATTTTAGGCTTAAATGTCCAATATGTTAAGAAATAAACTTGTTTCAGATAAATGTAAATATTTGAGTTGATATGTTTCAACTTGCCCATAATGCAATTCTGTTGCATAATAGAAATTTCCTCTGGCTTGTTGGGTCACTGATTGTGTCAACCCAAATCTTAATTTGCATAGTAGGTTTCCAGATGTTCAAGGAGATAAATGAATTCTTGAAATAATATTGGCATGGGTACAAGAACCTAGTTATAATTGGCCTTCAGCATTCAGTACTGAATTATTTATCTTCTGTTCAAACCTATAACCTTAAAATATGCATGTAGTACTTCTGGCATCATGAAAAATAAATGCAAATACAGATGTGATTTTAAGTATAAGTGAAAGCATTCTGGTACACATTGCACACTGATTTTTGCTAAAAAAATTATTTGCAGTACAGAACAGTACTCTGTAGTGTTTATAGACTTTTTTGTGGCAGTTGAGAATGACCATTGTCTTGCAACTTTTTAATGTAGCCTGTATATAGCTGGTTCTACATGGATATAAAATGTAGATTTTCCCCTCTGCTGAGGTAGGCTGTCCTTTCTTTTTCTTGGGATTTAACTGAAGATATTTTATTTCTATTATGAATCTTAAGATAGAATACTAAATAACATCTCCCAAATTTTTGCTTTTCAGAAACAGACAATATTGCCTTTTGGTTGAATATATAATCTAAATTTTACTCATTTGATTTCAGGCAATAATTGCCTGTCTTCAAGAGTGCCAAAAAAAACAAACCTCATCTTATGAAATGTCTCCTGGTTTCTAGCTTGGTGCCTTACTAACCAAACTCTGACATCATTAATAAGGTTTTATATTTTTACATCTTAATTCTGTTACATCTTTTTATCTGCACCACTGCTGTTTGGCCCCTAATGAAGTATTAGGGTTATTGAGAAATCAGGTCTGTTCAATTCACTAAAGTGAAGAGAGAACTACAGCTTCAGGCTATGATACATATACACCAGGGGCATGCAAATGGTTTTGCGCTGTAAATTACCCAATCACAATAACTACTGAGAATATAGCCAAGTTAGATTCTAAACAAGTTCAAATCAGATTGCATCTAAGAAGATACTTTGAATTAAAGAAAACGTTAAAGCAACACAAAATGGAAACAATGCAAACTGACAGAAGAGGAATGTTATTAAATGGTCTTATGCAGATCCCAATTTCTGGCTGAAGTGTTTAAATTTGCAATAATGGAGCAGCAGTAGTGCATATTGTAATAAATACAATCAAATTCTAAACCATTTTAAGGATTAATGGAACAATTGAAGATGTGACCTAAACATACAGGAATCCATGAAAAGAAGTGGCATTTGTGACAGGTCCCCACTCCGTTACGGTTTTTTATTTCAATGTTATGGTGGAGTCAAAAACAAATAATCAAATTTACTATCAATAGTTTTTTCGGTATATTTCCCATGCATTCTGTTTTATTGGTTCTGTTCCCTGGTACAAATTGGAAGCAGCAGTTGGGAGAGATGTGTCTAGGTTTACAGTACAATCCAAGGTTAAAATTGGGGACCAGGGTTAAGCTTGAGGGATAAATAAGGATGCTGCACTGCACTTCCATATTTCATGTATAATCCTATATAGTGTATATTAAATTAAGGAGAGAGGCTTACAGTCCCAGCAGAGCTCTCATAAAGGGTTAATTAGTGATGGTTGTGAAACAATGGGAAAATTACATCAGCCTTCTCTAACTTGTCTTCCATAATGTTTTGGATTCTTGCTTCCCCAAAGGCATGCCTGCTGAGAATTCAGAGAATTGAACAAATAGTATTTGCCTTAAAACTATTAGTTTAGTGACCAAAGTTACAATGGCACTGAAAAGAGACTTATGACCATTGCAACTTCTCCAAAATCACATAATTACAATTTTGGCAACTGGTATGTGTTTATGATGTTTCCGCTGTCCTGGAGCCATGTGATCACCATTTGTAACTTTTCCAGCTGACAAGGTCAATGGGGGAAACTAGATTCGCTTAATGGCTACATGATTCACTTAACAAAAATGGCAACAACAAAAAAGTTTCTAAAATAGGGCACATATCACTTAACTGCCTTAATAAGGGAAATTTTGGGCTCAATTGTGGTAAGTCAAGGACTACTTACAGTACAATACATCTGGTCGTTTTTGGAAAACCCTGTGTTAATGACAGACCTGCCGTGTGAGCTGCTGAAAATAATGCAGTTCTGATGGTAGATAAAAAGCCTGAAGGGCAATCCAACATAAAATCCCCCTATGAAATACTACTCGTAGCCTTCCGCCACAAAGCTTCTCGGTCAAAACAGATCAGCATCTGTTAGCTTCCTTTAAGCGTCTTGAATTAACTGGATGAGGGCATGGCGAGTATCTCTCAAATCTCTTACTAACCTGCACCGACAGCTTTCGCCCACCTCAAAAAACGAAGATTAGAGCCCGGCCGAAAGCCAAAGGTAAACAAATCTCCAGCAGCCTCCAAGCGGCGTGGCTAACAGCGAAGGATGCCGGGACTTGTAGTTCAGCATCGCCCGAAAAGCTCAGCGGTCCCATAAGTGTTTGCCAAACGCGTAAGGAACAGTAATGACGTACTGTTCCGCTCTCCCTCCGTGAGTGCCCGGCCAAGCGGCGCATGCGCATTCCAATCAGTTCCCCCCCCCCCCGGGTGTTTTCCTACATGTGGCTCAGGCGGTCCTCCCGGTGGGGCTACTTGTGCCTTGCAAATTCCGGCCTTTCCGTAGCTCGCAGCGGCGAGCGCGGCTCCGGCTGCCTCTTATCCGGTGGGCGCCTCAGTTTTCTCCACAAACGCTCTCGAAAGAGGCGGAGAGAGAGGCAGCCCGGAGTCCCGTGGGAGCAGCTAGACAGCCCGAAGCTGCTCGCGGGGAGCCGTGCAGCGCCGTCGCGGCTATTCCGGGGCTCCGCCGTTCTCTCGGTGGCCCAGTCGCGTTCCTGCTTAACGTCTAGCAGCAGCAGCAGCAGCAGCAGCGCCGACCATGCAGGCGAGGAGTGCGGCGAAGCAGCCTTGGCTGCTTGTCAGAGGCGGCGTTTCCTCCGAAGAGGGGGAGACGAGGGCAAGCAGACCTGGGCTTCTTACCTGCGAGGAGACCACCCGGCCTTCGGGCCTCTGGGGGTGGCACTGAAGAAGAACCTGGCCACGCAGTGGTGGGAGGCCGTGGTGGTCTTTCGGGAGCAAGTGCTGGGCGTGGAGGGCCCGGTTCGACTCGAGCCCGCTGCTGGCCAAGGGCCCCTGGGGGAGTCCCTGCGCTTGGTGCATCCGCGCACCGTCGGGGAGACCTTGCAGGAGGCTGGATCGGACGGAGAGCAGCCGCTCGCCGCCTTGCAGAAAATGCTAGCCCAGTCCGGGATGCTTCGCGACAACCTTCTTCATGGTAGGATGTCACTTCTGTAGGTTGTTACTTCTGATAGCAATAGCACTTAGACTTACATACCGCTTCTTAGTGCTTTACAGCCCTCTCTAAGCGGTTTACAGAGTCAGCCTCTTGCCCCCAACAATCTGGGTCCTCATATTACCGACCTCGGAAGGATGGGAAGCTGAGTCGACTTTGAGTCTGGTGAGGATCAAACTTCCAAATTGTAGTCAGCAGATGTAGCCTGCAGTACTGCACTCTAACCACTGTGCCGCTAAGGTTCAGAATTGAAATGGGGATTGGGCATTCAGTGACAGCAACTCTATATACCACAAATAAGCAAAGTTACAAAATTGAAGTTCTTGCATCCATCAATCTGTAAACAGTCTGCACTCTGTTGACCAGTTGTGTGTCAGAAAATGTTGTAATACACGGGTTTGGGGAAGAGGTGCCTATAAAATTAAATAAGTGTAATGGCATGTGGGGATGACTTGGGGGACAGGAGGAAGAACTGCAGCCTAGACACACCTGATAAATGAAATCTGAATCCAAAAAGGGGTGGGGATGGAGAAAGTATCTCAAAAGTGACCCACCCTAGTTTTGGGGAGAGTAAAAAGGAGGGACAGGAGAAGTACTTTCACACTTGCAAGATTCAGTAACTGTATAATAAAGGTTGTGTTAGTACTAGTGGTTGGCGCTACTTGTCTGCACTGCCACAAAGAGTAGATGGTAGGTGATAAAAATGCATAAAAGTGCTGCTACTTTTCCACATGAAAAGGAGGAACTTGCATTATAGTGTAATTATAAATGTTTTGCTATTGGTGTGTTTATGGTTAATTAGTTGTTGCCTAATCCATGACTTCTATGTTTTTATGATTATGTGGCGGTTGTGTTCCTATGCTTGATTCATTTAACCGTACAGAGAGGGTACTGTAATTATTAATAGAAAATGTGGATATGTTAAGTGTTATGTCTGAGATTAGGTCATTGTATGATATATTCAAGCATTAGAATCATGAGATTGTATGAGACATTTACATCAGTGCATAGCATATTTGCATGATACAATCATCCACAGGCTGTTTCTGTTCAAGATAAATGAAATTATTCTGCAATATTGTAATGCATCAATTGTTGATGTTTATTAATTTATGTTGATAGGTGCTTTAGAGCATTATATTGATTGTCTGGAATTGGTAAACCAGAGACTGCCTTTTGGAATTGCGCAAATAGGAATATGTTTTCATCCAAATGACAAAAATCCCATGAGGTACAGTAATCCAAGTTCCTAAATTCTTTTTTGTAGCTATGTGCCCTTTTCTGTAAGAAAAACAACTTGCTTATTTGTTGACCTCTTCTTGGTATTCTTTAAAGAACAGGTGAAAGGACAATGGCTTCCCTTGTTTGGTACAACTCTGCCAGAACAGCTGGACAGTGGCTTGGCTATTGGTTACGTCAGCGGCTTCAGTGGTGGAGAAAGGTATTTAGAGAGACCTTATCTATATGAGGTGTTAAAATTATCAACATATTGAATGGTTCCTCTGAAAAGGCTGCTGTGAAGTTGAAAGTAAAATTGATATTCTTACATTTAATTCATGCAGCTCACTGCTTTAAATATTAATCTAGTGGTAACTGAATTATTTTTCATCTGAGTAGTTCAGAAAATCAGCAACTATCCATTTGGTCCCAAATTTTGCAGATCTTCTAAACCAAATTGTCAGTGAAGGCTTGTAATTTATATTCTTCTTTCTTTATTTTTAGTCCTTTTATTTCCGGTTCTTTCCTAATTATTCTTGTTAGTGCTTCCAAAGTCAAAATAAATAATAAAGGTGATAATGGACACCCCTGCCTCGTTCCTTTATATCTCAAATTTATTTGTTGTATGGCCATTTATCAATATCCTAGCTTGTTGTTTATTATATATTGCTGATACTTCATTTAGGAATTTTTGCCCCAAATCCATATGCTTAATTTGTTGCAGAACGAGACTCCATTTTACATTATCAAAGGCCTTTTTAGCATCCAGGAATAATAATGCTACCTCCACTACGCTCTTTATAATACTCTATGACGTCTAAAATTGTCCTAATATTATTGCTAAGATGTCTATGTGGAAGGAAGCCATTTTGGTCTGTGTGTATAAATTTAGTATTTTCTTGAATCTTGTGGCTATTATAGTTACGAAAATTTTATAGTCCACATTTAATAGAGATATTGGCCTATAATTTCCTATCTTTGTTTGATCATTTTTTTTCTTTTGGAATAATCATAATCGTTGCTTCCTTCCAAGATTCCGGAATCTTTGCCTTATCCAGGACTTCATTAAATAATTTAAGTAATCTGTCGCCTAATATTTCTTGTTGAGTTTTGTATAATTCAGCAGGGAGTGCATCCGGGCCAGCCGCCTTGTTATTTTTTTGTTTATTTATTGCCCAAGTCACTTCTTCAAGATTTATACTTCTATTCAATAGGATTTTTTCTTCTTCCGATATTTTCGAAAGATTCGCTTTCTTGAAACATTTTATCACTTTTTCTTCTGTTACCTGTTCTTCTTCTTTATATAAATCCTCAAAAAATTTCTGGGCTGTATTCCTTTTCATTTCTTCTTGATAACATATTTCCCCCTGTTCGTTTTGTAGCTTAGTGATCCATCTTTTTTCTGCTTGTTTTTTTCAATTTCCAGGCTAGCCATCTTCCTAGTCTATTGGCATTCTCAAATACATTTTGTTTTATTCTTTTCAGTTTTTGGGCTAAATCTTCTTTTTTTCAGCAAATTTATTTCATGTTTTATTAAGTCCATTCTTGTTTTTATCTCTTTCAATTTTGGTTCTTGTAGTTTCATCTCCAAGTTTTCATATTTCATTTCTAATGCTTTTTGCTGTATCTTCTTTTTCTTGTTGTTATTCGCCATATAATTTATCGCCATTCCTCTCATAACTGCTTTAGCTGTATCCCAGGTGCTTTGTAGGGACGTGTCTTCTTTATTTTCCTCAAAGAAGAGTTTCATTTCCTTTTCCAATTTAATTTTAAATTCTTCCTCCTTTAGAATAATTCTTTGTAAGGTCCATCTTGGGATCTTGGATTGGCTTTTCCAGCTAAACCTGATATAACTATGATCTGCCCACAAGCTCGGTTCAATTTCTATTTCCATTATTTCTAAGATAAGCTTCTTAGGCATCCATACCATATCCAGTCTCGACCAGGACTGATGTCTGTTTGAATAAAACGTGAATTGTTTCTTATTTGGATGATGTTCTCTCCATGCGTCATAAATCTTAGTCTCTTTTGCCAAATCATGAAAAATTTTCGGTAATACCTTTCTTGTTATTTTCTTATTTTTACCTTTATAGTCCTTTGCTTTGTCTATAATTGCATTAAAATCACCTAAGATGCAAATCTCTTCATAATACATTTCTTTAATATTATTATATACTTTTTGAAAGAAGTGTTCTTGTGGGGCATTCGGAGCATAAATCTCTATCAAAAGAATCTTTTTATTTTCTAATTCTATCTCTACCATCAATATCCTACCATCTTTATCTTTAAACATTTCTTTAGCCGAAATCCAGTCCTTTATGTATAACACCACCCCTCTTTTCTTTTGCTTATCTAATGACATAAAAGCTTTTCCTAGTTTTCTATTATCTAGCAAGTATTTTTATTTCTCTTTTATATGCACCTCTTGTATTGCTATTATATCTGCATTCAATTTTTGTAAATTATGAAATATTTTCTTCCTTTTCACTGGGGAATTTAGGCCATTAACGTTCATCGAAATTACCTCACATTTCTCTCTCTCTCTTTTTTTTTCAAATTCTTTTTCTCGTATTTCTTGTTGCTCTCATTTCTCTGGATTCTGCATATTGTCTTTCATATGTTTCTGCCTTTCTTCTTCCATATCTCCTCTCCTTGTCCGGTGAATTTTCTTCCTTATTTTCTACCTCTGCTCCTCTTTCCTCAGCCAAGTCTTTCCTTCCTCTTCTTCCACTGCTGTCTCTCCTTCAGTAGCAAATTGTTGATCATAGAAATCTTCCGCTTTGTCAATTGTGTCTAGTCGATCTCTCTTCTCTTGCCAGTTGACCATAATTCCCTCCAGCATCAATCAGCTAAAACTGATATTATATTTTATTAGCTTCGTTGTCAGAAAGTGGTAAGGTCTCCTCAAGTCCCTGACTCTTCTCGGCACCTGTTTAAAGACAGTTATTTGTTTTCCATTATGTTCTACTGGATCATCTCTTGTTCTGTGTAATATTTCATCTTAATCAGTCAAACATGAACTTCTCTAGGAATATTGTGTCTTCTTGCATAGTTCGTCTGCACTCTGTATGTCTCGTCCATTTCCATCACAATTTCTTCTTTTTCCATTTTCAGTATTTTTGCAATTATCTCACCCATTACATCCGGCAAATCTTTTTCTTTTTTCTCCTTAATATTTTGGAATCTCAGATAGTGAGCTGCTTTTGCTGCTTCCAGTAGAATTACTGTAGATTCCAACTCTTTATTTGCTTGTATCAGCTTATCCATCAGGTCTTCCACTTTTTTCTCCACTTTATCCATTCTAGATTCTATTTCCACTATTTTTTCTTGGTTTTTCCTCATCTCTTGTTGGTAGCACTCAAATTTTTCATCTATAATTTGGATTTTTTTCTTTTAATTCAGATCTTAGTGATCCTATCTCTGTTTTCAGATCTTCATGGTTTTTAGATAGCATTTCCTGCACATTCAGCATTAGTCCTTGTAGATCTTTCATCGAGTTCGATCTCTCCCTTGGTAACATTTCATCTATAGCTCTCTGTGTGGAGGGACTGGCCATTGAGGTCGTTGTCAATGTTTGGGTGGGTATTTTTTTTCCAGCTCCCGGCTTAGGTATATTTGTATTACTTGTCATACTAAATATCTTTGCTATAATCTTTTTCCACCACGTCTTCCAATTTTGTTCTTCTCTTTCAAATCCCTCCAGTTCCCTCCAGTTTTTAAATTTCTAATTCTCACACTCACACATCACTCTGCAATATTTAATTAATAGTTTTCCCTCTTATATCAGTTCTATAATTCTATCACTTGTCCAAATATTTATATTAATATTGAAGCCAATCTAAAAATAAATCCCATCTAATGTCCAATAATCAGTAGTATGTTAAAATATATCCACAATAATACCAATCAATATGTGATAATTAATTTTAACAGTTATATTGCTTATAATAATCCCACTTAGTCAAGTCTTGAAGATAACAAATATATACCTAATTAATCTATAGCATAATATACCAATCTATCAAAATATATAATTATTTAAAAAAATTCTTATACTTTAATCAACCTAGTTATCAGGTATACAATATATGATTTATATTTGTATTTGTATATTTGTATAATTATATCAATCTGTATTCCAAATATATGCAGAGATCAGCAGAGTATTACATTTACCTATATACTTGCCTATATATGCAATAAATTAATAAGTTTCTTAAATTAAGAATCAACAAAATATACCAAAAAGAAAAGAAAAACAAGAACTTTACTATAAAGGGAAAAGTAACCAAGTATCATTTTTCTTGTCACAGTTTCACTTCAGTTCAGTAACCAGCAGGTGTCTCTCATAAAGCGCTACAATGTCTCTTTGTCAACTTCAAAATTGCAGACTCATTTCTTTGTACCCTCCATTTTAATTAGTTCCAAGCTTCTTTTTCCAAAAAAGTTCAGAACAGTTCAAAAGAAATATAGAACCAAAATCCAAAAAGAATCCAATCTCACCACAATATTTGATCAGTTATCAATTCTCTCTCAGTTTTTTAAATCAAGTTCATCAGTTCAAAGTTACTCAAACCATTCCAAACCTTCCCATTTTTATTTTGTAATCCCACAGATCTCTCACAGTTCCACACTTAGCACTTTCAAATGTCACCCTTCTCCAAGTATAGTCCAAAATTTCTCTTGCATTAAATCCAGGTGCCAAGCTAATCGTTTTTTCTTTAATAGCCATATACATCGATCTTCTCTCTTCTATTCACCAGATTTTTTTTTATGGCTTCCCTATCTTCTTCCAATCTCTTTGCCCACCATTAAATCTGCCGCTCCTTCCGTTGTTAACTAGGGCTGACTTTTAATGCAGGGTTTTCTCTATATCGTTCGCTTTTGGCTCCCCTTTTTGTTTTACTAACTTTAAAGTTGTTAAAGCTGTCCATTTTATATGCACCTTCATTCCGCTGTTTCACCGATAATAGGACCAGTTGTCTTCATCTATGCTGATCGCCTTCCTTTGTCTGCTCGATCCAGGTTCTCTCTGCTTCCCTGCATGAACCGCCACCCGTGTAGGTTTTTCAGCACCCCTACACCTTTGGAAACCCTACGAGCCTCCTTTTGAGCCCCGAAAGGTCCCGCAAAATGAAATTTGAAAGATCGTGCTTCGCAGAGGAATCTGCTCGCACGTCTTCTCTCCCAGACAGCTGGCTCCACCCCCCAATGCTGAAAATGCAACAAAGAAATCGGAACATACTACCATGTATGGTGGAAATGTGGAATATGGTGGAAATATTGGCTGAGTATTAGAAACTGGTTAGAAGAGATGTTTAAAATTTAAATAGAGTTTAGACCTGAAATTTTTCTATTGGGAATCAATGTTGGAAAATATAACAAGGAGATAATATACCTAATAGTTCATGTCACCACTGCCACGAGACTAGCTCTTGCCCAAAGATGGAAAGGAAATGATATGCCAGAAGAGATGGAAATAATTAGAAATTTTGGTCGTGCGCTGAAATGGATAGAGTAACTCAAGAATTAAAAGATAAGACTGAATCTGATTTTTATAAAATTTGGGAGAAGTTTTACCACTGATTTAAAAAAAGAAAGGAGTAATTGTAACAAAAAATATTAATATTTATGTACATATGTAAATTTGTATTTTTTGTTATGTATGCACCATGTTCATTGTTTTTGATGTTTTTGTTTGTTCATTAATAAAATTTATATTAAAAAAATCAGCAACTACAAACCAACAGTCCAAAATTAATTTGGAATTTAAACAGAAAAATTTCAAATGACTTTTAAAAATACTTTTTTACAATTACTTTGGGGGAATATTAAGTTTTTATAACTTGTTAGAATTAAGATAAGTTTTCCTGTATCAACAAAAATTGCAGTCAGTATCTATATAGGTAATGTGTCTATATGGGTAATGAATACTGAAGTATACATTATTTTCTAGCCAGATTTTTATAAATGAATATGTACTTGCTTTCCAAAGTATTTCCATATTTTCAGTTGTGTTGAGAATTAAAATATGTGTAGTCTTTGTGTTTACCTGGGATGTACTTAGTCTGTAAATCCCTGCATTTTTATATTTCTTTTTAATAGTTTGCCATAAGCCCATCCAACTTCAGCAGTGGCGCTCACAATGAAGAAGGAAGAAGAGGAAACAATCTGTATTATAATTTTCCCTGGGGGAAGGAAACAATAGAAACTCTGCAGATGCTGGGAGACAATGAACTATTACAAATGTATCCAGGAAATGTATCAAGATTGTATGTAAGTTTTATTAAACTCTTTAGTGCTGTTATGTTAGCACCATCCCATTTTTCCCTGTACCATCCGTTTCATATAATACGAGCGATATAGGTGATTATGATGAAATGGCACATTAACAGAATGCACATTTTGATGTTTCTTCTTCAGGGTCGAGATGGGCGAAAGCATGTTGTTCCTCATGTCCTCTCTGTGAACGGCAATTTGGACAGTGGAGTATTAGCATACCTCTATGATAGCATGCAAGTGTCTGAAAATGGTTTGACCCAAAAAAAGGCTCTGCAGAGAAAGGTGATTCATATTCCTAAATTGAATTAAATCAATGCAAATGGAAGCTAAGTGTAAGATTTTCCCCTTGCAGTTGTGCTGTCTCCTGTTTGGGACTTTTCATTTGGACAATTAAAGATTCCATTGCTGTAAATTTGAAAACTATAAAGGTAGTTTGTGTTGCTTTCAGTGGCCTGGATATAGAAACTTTCCATAAGAAAACAGAGTGATCTTTGACCCTTTCCCACTTTCCCCATCTACTGTATGTGTGTGTCTCTTCTCTTCCCCTTCCCCCCCAATAATTCTGGAGGTTGAAGGCATGGAAGAAAGAAACCCTGGAAGTTGCAGAGAGACTAAGCAAGTATCACCTTCATTTTTCCCAGCAGGAACATTCTGAGAAAAAAGAAGCTACTTTTAAGAAATCTCCTGCTCTGTAAATATTTGCAATTGTTATTTTTTACCTTATTTTCAAAAATGTTTTATTTCAGGTCCTTAAGCTTCATCCGTGTTTGGCACCCATCAAAGTAGCTTTGGATATGGGAAGGGGCCCAGCAGTAGAGTTGAGGCAGGTGAGCTATCACATCAAGATTTTTAAAATAGTTTTTATGTCTCTATTTTAATAAAATCAACTGTTGTTTTTTTAAAAGCACTTTCCATCTAATTCTTTTGGCCAAGCTCTAATATAAGATAAAAGTCCTTCTCCAAAAGGTAAAAAAAAAAAAAGCCAGAATCTACGTTCAGTGCTGGGGTATTTCCAGGAAAATATTAGGGCAAACATTAGGGCAGATTTAATTCTACATACATTAAATAAAACAACTTCATATAAATATGGCTTTTCTGTATCTGTTGTTGGATCAAGGATTCTGCTGTGCAGAGGAGAAATATTTCTGATCCACCAACCTGTTAACCTGCCTGGCACTGAAGCTGATATCTACGGAAGTTAGGTCTGTACTAGAAAAGCTTTTGCTTTTGCTAAGAGCATAGTCCTTAGTACTGAGTCACAGGTCAGAATTATATTATGTGATTGTAGGAAAACTGGACAGAGAACTTCCATTCTGTTTTTATCTCACTCAAGAGTTCACCAGGGTTATCAAGATTCTTCTGTCAAGCTTCTGTATCAATTGCCATCACATAGGGTTTAATTTGGGGGCATCTAAAATGGAAAACAAGTAACTAAAATAAATTGAGTATAATTTTTATTATTAAAAATTATAAGTAAATGGCTAGATTGCTTAGCTCCATCCCACTCACAACAGCTGAAGGATCTAATGTGATGAGCATTGAGCAGGGCCACATAATCTCTGAGGTCATTTCAAATTTTGTGATTCTGATTTAACAGGCAGCGTAAGATTTTGATCCATTTTCGAAAAAATTTTTACCCTTCTTAAAAACCTTTGCAATATTTTTGGCTTCTTGGCTACCAGGACTCAAATAGAGAATTGCTCTCTATAATTTCGTTCAGTTATCAGTGTAGGTAAACCCATATTCAATATTAGAAGTGCATCATATTAAACAGATATTATATGAGAATGCCTGAATCGTAAGGCAAAGTCTAATAAAATAGGACCCTCTTGTCATGGTTGGGAGCCGAGACCACCAATCTCTTATTCCTAGTAGTGCTAATAAATCTTAAGTAATTACAAAAAATAGTTTAGAACCCAAATTTTGCAAAAAAAAATAAAAAAAATGTAGAAAATTAAAAATAAAATATATTGGAAGAAACGAACCAATCTTAGCTCTTAGCACAAGGGTATTTTTTACTTTTCTCTTTCACCCAGAAAGTATGTATTTATAAAGAATAATGTTTGTAGCTCAGGGTTGAAATGAGGAGTCCTTGGTGCTCTCTGAGCTTGCTGGTTTTCTTGTTTTCTTAGGGTAATGAAACGACCGAAAGAAAATAGGCAAGCTCAGCACCAAGGACTCCTCGTATCATGTGTTTAAATCTCCTTAGTGCCAGATATAATTGTAATCTTTATCATTACAGTTTTGTCTTTTCATTCAATGATTCAAGAAAGTGTTTGTTTTCAAAGGTGTGCCAAGAGTTGTTCAAGGAATTGTTAGAAAATGAGATTTCTGTTTGGCCTGGCTATCTTGAAACCATGCAATCCTCTTTGGAGCAGCTCTATACCAAGTAAGGAGGGGGAAAAGGGCATAATTCAGAATGTAACGTTGAGAGCTAAATGTTGAAAAATTTACAACATTGACAAGTTGTTAAATTTGCTCAAAGTCTTTTTGAACAAACCAATTAACCTTAAGTTACAAAAAAATCCAAACAAGCCTGCATTTATTTGTAAATTGACTTTAATCATATTCCTTAACATTCAGTTTAGTGAGCTGACAGAATAAATAAGTAGTGTAAATGTGATTTATTGGATAAATCACACTTGGATAAGTTCTCACTTAAACCAGATTTATACAGAGTATTTTATGGTTTGGAGTGAAATGTAACTCCATCTACTGTAGTTTAGGTCTTTTGGAAATTCAGGACTCCATTTGAAAAGCAAGCAATTATTTGTTAAAGTAATGGAAAAGTAATTTAGATGATTTAACTGGATCATATCTACTCTCTAATTCAGTGGTGCCCAACTTTTGCAGCTTGGCGGCCCAGCGGTGGGGGGAGGGGAACCGGGTTGCACGAGCACAAGTTGAGCTGTGTGTGTGTGCCGGCCTGCTGCTCACGTGCCTGGTTCTGAATAGGCAACCGCCTGGAGGTTGGGGACCCCTGTTCTAATCGATTCCTAAAATATGCTTTCCTAATATACATGCCTGATACTGCTGCTGTATACCCTTGAACAGAAACTCTTTGTTCTTATTCTTGTTGATAGGTATGATGAAATGGGTGTGCTTTTCACAATCCTGATCAGTGATGCCACACTAGAGAATGGGCTGGTGCAGTTGCGAAGTAGAGATACTACTTTGAAAGAAACAATGCATATATCCAGGTTAAAGGACTTCTTAATCAAATATATGTCTGCTGCTAAAAATACTTGAATTTTTTAAAAAATAAAGGCAAATTTGAACCTTTCTTTCTGAATGATGATACTTCTTTAGGTCAGAATATAGTTCTGTTTTCTGGGATATGCCTTATTTCCATATGAGATGGGAAGGTAAAGCAGACAAAATTTCGCATGTGTAGAACTAGTTACATTGGTGAATTCATAATAGCACAGAACTATGTCTAACATAAACAAAAATATGTGAACATTTCATTTCCAAAGTTAGGAACTTGCTTTAAAAAAAAAAAGATATTTCAAAGATTTAATATTGTTTTTCTCTATTATTTGGATTTAAATAGGAATTGGGATGGGTATGTTAAGGGTATCTATCATCTGAAGGAGGACCATTTAAGCCCATACTTAATCAAATTGGTTTTTTTTTGCCCATTTTCAACAACAATATACATAAATGGCAGTTCCAAAAGTTTGAAAGCATGCTAATACAAGATGGTGTCATATGCTTAGGTGTTCGTCATGTGGTTGTTTTTTAATAAAAACAGAACTTCAGCTTGGAGTCAAATTACCAAGGGACAATAAGTAATGCTGAACTTCTGAAGAACTGGACAGAAAAGATCCAATCCGTTCTTGGTTGTTTTATCTCAACAGAACTGACATAAAATCAAACTTCTGTAATGACATAAAATAAGGAGCATTCGCTTCTTTAAAATGTGACATTTTATAAGTAGTGAAATACTTTCTAGAAATTCAGCATAACTGAGCAATTGGAAGAGACTATCTCGCTTGGAGAAACAAGTGGAAACCCTGCTTCATAAGACAGACTCAGTATCTTTATATAATGAATTATAGAAGCACTCAAAGTGAATGCAAAAAACTCCATGATTTATAAGAGAACATCTGAAAGGATTCCTCAGAAACCAATTGGCTTTTGTCTTCACTACACCAGGTGTAAGCAACCTTTATCCTCTGGTTATTTTGGGAGTTCAGTTCAACTCTGAGAACCTATGTTCAGCTCTGTCTTCCCAGTAAAGGGTCTTAGGTCCATGCAGACAACCAACTAACCATCTTTATTTACTGAGCAGGTAAGTGAAAGCTGTGAGTAAGGCAGGTAGCTTAATTTCTCATAGGAAAATTCTGATGGACGAGAGAAAAGGATAGTTAATTAGCTGGCAAAAGAAGACTGCCTAGAAAATTCTGAGAACTTGGATGGAGAAGATACGGTGGCTGACGTGGTTCTAGACAGTGGCCGTTGAAGATTTGATTTACTAAAGTATAATGCTGAACAGTAAATGGATAGGACATGTTTATCTTGGTAAGAGCTTCTTTCAGGACAATTCAGAAGAAAATTGCTGAAGAGAACTGTTATGTGAGTTCCAGAGGAAGACTCATCAAAGGTGAACAGGAAGATCACTTGCCTGGCTTTCACAGGTGGTTTCCCTATTGCAAGAGATGACAGAAGGTCAGGCCTTCTACCAGTCAGAGCCTAGGACGGAAGCCTGCACCAGTCTAAAAAAGTCTGCAGATATTTAGATATTCTTGCCTCAGTTTCCATCATGGCATTCTTCTGTGACTTGACCGTCCCAAAAATAGTTCTGAATTTTATGTATCTTGCACATTTTTGTAATTTTTCATCTTGTTTCTCTTAACTATTACTGTAATCTTGAGAATGAACAAGAATGATTCAAAACATGTTTGCACCAACGTTTTTTGTCATGCTGAAAAATGAGATTCTGGGGACTGCATCGATGTTCAGATACTTACTCTGATGTTGGATTGCCTGCCATGTTGTACAGATACAGAGTGACAAAAATAATATGAAACTAAAGAATAATTTAAACATTCATCCTTGTTGTATAAAGGAATCAGTCGTATTTACAGATGACATCTGCATAGATTACGGTACTGTCTTCACTGTCATTCACTAGAATAGAAACATAAATTTTAAAAATGTTATTCTGAGGAGAGACTCAAAAATAACTCAGATAATGACTTAGATCTATGCTTGCTGGTAGAAGATTGTGACAAATGGCTGTAATTATACCTGGATAAGTCACCTATAAAGCTGATACCTGTCCAGGCAGTAAACTGATAGGTGCATGTCCATTGCACTGTAAAAGTTGTGTAATTTTCACTTGGATATGCTGATGATTCAAGCCTACCCCTGCTAGCAGGGTTTATGTCTGCAGCTGTACTGAACTGGTATTTGGAAGTCTCACTGAAAGCAATGGCACTCACTTCTGAGTAAACAGAATGACTTCACAACATTTCAGAAATACACCTTATTTTCAACCAATAATAGTTGTAAAGCAACGGTAAGGAACCAGTAATTTTTCAGACAATGCTGAACTACAACTCACTGACTTTCTTACTATTGGCTATTCTAGCTATGGCTGCCAATAACTGCAGTTGGAAGACCAATTCTAGGGAACTGCAGATAATTTTTATTTTAGTATGTGCTCTGCATTTTAATTACATTGCTTCACACCCAAGTGATATATCTCATGCATATCCTGACTGTACTGTATGTAAACTAGTAGTTGAAACAGCAAGGAGCTCTCTTACTCTGATGTAGACATTCATTATCTTTTTTAGGAAGCAATTATATGCTCCCGTTTAAGTAAGCAGTACTACCTAATGTTAGTGCAATTATTGGCTAGTTTCCCTGGCCCAAATGTATGTGATTGGTCATCCACAGACCAATCTCCAACCCTATTATTACCAATGTGCCCATGTTGCTGAGCCTGGGGCACTACATGCCTCCTAGTTATATTGTTAACAGGCCAGATATTTTGCCTTGGTATCCACTTCAAATTAGAAGTTTTAATGTTTTTTGCAGTTCTAATGCTTTTTATTGTTTGCATTGTTTTAATGTTATATTCATTTTAATTGTAATATATGTTTTGAATTGTGAGTTGCCCAGAGTCATTTGCTGAGATGTGTGGCTATAGAAATCAATCAAACAACTTACCATTATACATACATATATACATATCTGTAAATATACACATAAACACACATACATACACACAAATGCTCACAAATAATTAGAATGTTTTTGATCCACGCAAATTAAAATTACCGTATCTGTAATCTGTCTTGGTTTTCATTTTCAAATTGCAATATTTATTTTCTTCAGTTATTCCATAATCTGAATGATAATGCAAGAAAGAAATCAGTTACTATTATAATAGCAAGGGCAATGAATTAAGTGATATTCCTTTGAAAGAGGAATTCAGACATATGAATTGGGATATGCAAAATGGTTCAAACGTGAAACGATCCAAGTTCAAAATTATTCATGCTTGAAACAAAACACATGAGTTTTGGTTTGAGTATGAAATAATGCAGGCTGGTTTCATGTTCAAGCATGAAATACGGCTGTTTGAAAAGGAGTAGTTGTCTCTGTTGTTTTGATGATAGGATTGCAGTTTTATCTCTTGCTGCTATGGCTGTGAGGACAGTGGGGAGGTTGGAGAAGAACATGCGCCAGTCCTGGAGTCCGGGGAAGGCTCTGACGAGTGCTCTGCGTCGGAGGCAGAGATGGAGCCAGGGCCGTCTATAGTTAGGGTTGTTAAGTGAGACGTGTGAGTTTTGTCCCTATAAAAAGGGACAAAACCTTCTTGCCACAGATGTTAAGTGAACCACTGCAGATTTTAATTTAGTAACATGGTTGGTAAGTGAATCTGGTTTCCCCATTGACATTGCTTGTCGGAAGGGCGCAAAAGGGGATCACATGACCCCGGGATGTTGCAACCATCATAAATTTGAACCAGTTGCCAAGCATCTGAATTTTGATCACGTGACTACACGGATGCTGCAATGTATGTGGAAAAAACGGTCATAAGCCTTCTTTTCAGCACTGCTGTAACTTTGAACAGTCACTAAATGACTGTTGAAAGTCGAGGACTACCTGTACAGTAACAAGATCCCCTTACTAGATTGTCTAGTCCTGATCAGAAGGATGAGTTGAGCCTTTGTGGCTCACTGCTCTGTGGACCTAGGATGTATTTATAAAATCTGTGTCCCCTATTCCGTAACAAGTGTATTTATAAATAAGTAAAATTAATAATATTCTTGCACTCAGAAACTGATTTTTTTCTCTTATATGTTGGAGAAATCGAATAAACTACATGGAAGGTTCTCTTACCCACATATTGTTCATTGTCAAGTTGGTTCTCTCCTGGAAGAAAAGCATAGGCCCAAAGTTAAGCGACTGTAGTTTCTCAGCTCAATTCTTGCTTCAGCAAATACATGAGAAATTATCTCTTGGGGTTAAACCAATACTTCAATCTAACGTCCAGAAAGATGGAAAGATGGTTTTCCTTATTATACAGATGCATATGCGGAAGGGGATTAATCCTAGCCAGCTATTTCTCTTGTACTTGGTCTGATTTGTATCAAATAGTATTTTAAAACTACTAGAGACCGCTTCACTGAGGCTGCTACTGGTACCATCTTGAGGTTAACTTAACAGCAGAGGTGGTATTCAGCAGGTTCTGACCAGTTCTGGAGAACTGGTAGCAGAAATCTTGAGTAGTTTGGAGAACCAGCAAATACCACCTCTGACTGGCCCAGCCCCATCTATTCTCTGCCTCCCAAGTCCCAGCTGGGTCTTCTTTTGTTTCCCTGCACAGGAGAATGGAGCTGGAAAGCAGGGTAGCGGGGTGGAGAGGGAATGGGATTTTGCAGTATCCTTCTCCCTGGAGTGGGGTGGGAATAGAGATTTTACAATGTCCTTACCCTGCTACACCCACCAAGCCATGCCACGCCCACCAAGCTGCATCCGCAGAACCAGTAGTAAAAATTTTTGAATCCCACCACTGTCCCACAGCACTGTCTTATGCCTAAAGAATCTATGATTGATGACTTATCACTTTGTGGTTTGTATGTACATTGAGAGCTTATGTACCCGAGACAAATTCCTTATCCAATCATAGTGTCCAATCATGCTTAGCCAATAAAAAATAGTCCTGTCCCTATAGAGTATTTTTGGGAGCAAAGCTTAAGATCATTGATGGCTCTGCAAAACAGGTGCACCAGC